TGAATATCCTTGTAATAGCTATGTTCATTCAGACTTATTTTTTACAGCTAATTTTGATAATAATTTGAGATTTTATGAATATTTTTTTATGAATATTTTATAAATATTTTTATAAATAAGCAAAGTGAAGGATCTAGTTTACAAATTGCATATACATATGGATAGGACATGAGATATTTTTAGTTTTGATTATCTGATTTTCAAGCAATTGGATTGTTTTCCAAACTAGTTGCATTTATGTAATTATTTATATTTACCTTTAATTTGAAACTCATAGATTTTATTTCTGGTTGGACATATCAACGTAGGCAAATATTATCTTTTTCAAAGCCTGTTGGAAATGAACTCCAAACACTGTGGGATTTCAGGAAAGAGGTTAATTCAAGGACACTTCACAAAAAAGGGTTCCTATGTAAAATATCAATCTATCTCATGGATAAAGTGTGCTGCCCTAAAGCCAAAAATAGCAACGTTGATTGAATCAAAATTTGTTCCTAAACATTAATAGACAATTTATTAGATTATAACATTATCTGAGACAGTTACATGAGACATTTATTCTAGAAAACTTTATTAAAATTACCTCCTTAGATTACTTATTTTCTAAAAGAATCAAATTATAATTATCTAAAATGTAATAATGAGATGTATATTTTACTTAGGGAATAATTATATTGATTTTTAGTTTTTTGGGTGCTGTGTAGAGATTTAGCATTTCATTGCTCAAAGTGTGTTTTAAGTAATTTTGAAATTAACATTAACCTTAAAATTAATTGAATAGAAATAAAATTAAAATTAACCATAAAATTAAATAGAAATAGGTCTTTCTTGCTCAGAACTCTCTGAAATTTATGTAGGTGATAGTAGGGAAGGAGTGAGGGAAATTTGGAGACATGACTGGAAGTTCTAGTGGTAGTGTCCTTTATTTGTGCACTGCTCTCCCATCTCCCCCAATTTAACTTCGTACAGTATCTTCCGTACCCATCCTCTGTTTTTTCCTTCTGTTTTTCTTCCTGATTCATTTTTCCTTCCACCTTGACAAAACATATTAACAGTGATATTTCTACAACTTTAAAAGTTGTTATCTTGACGTTCTCAAGTGACCTATATTTTAAATCATAATGCTGGACTTGTAAGTCACTGTGAACTCCCTCTATACAAACTGGCAGATATTGTCCCTGACCCGGTTTGCCTAAGGTATTTTTTTTCCTCTCCATTTTCTTCTGTACATTATAATGAATTTAATCTTCTAAAAGCATGGTATTTGCAATATACCTTCTGATTCTATCCCTTTTTCCACTCAACCACTCACAAACTGTTGTCAAATATTCTTCTATCCAACTTACAGCCAAATGTAATCTCATTTACCATTTTTAACCACACTTGTGAATGTAAATTCCATCATTAATCGAGAACAAGATTTTTCTCATTTATTGAATGCCTACTATTGCCAGAGATCTTGATATGTTCTTCATATATATATTACCTTTATGTAAACCTAAACCACCTGGTAAAATAAGTATTAAATTCAGATGTGTACATTAGGGAATAGAAAAATTAAGTAATCTGCATGTGGTCATACAGCTCACAACTCGAAGAGAGAGGACTTAAAACTGGCCTTTTCTTACTCCGAAGCTCATGTTCTATCCTCTATTCATGCTTCTTCTCATGGTTTGGACTTTTTGATGTTTTATACTTGATGACAGTAGCTGAGGTTTTTAAAAAAATCTGTGCAGAAATAAAGGACCAAGAAAACATGGCCATATTCAATTCCAGGTCAAGGCAAGTACACACATTCTTACTATAGATGAAATTTCTTCCAGATTATATTTGACTTGAATGTATTATAAAATACACATCTATCCAGGTTAAGTAGTCACTGCCAAATGCCTAACAGTGATGTTGTATCTAAAATTGTTGTAATTCTCTAAAATCAGTATTTGATATCAAATAGCAAAAATGGCTGTTAAGCAGTGTTATGTAATTTGGAACTTTGACAAAAATGTCATATTATAAAAATGCAAAAGCTGCATTTTTTGTGTGGTGTCATGTTAGGTGCTATCTAAACAGTGGTTTATTAATTTAAAAATTCATTTAATACCTCTATTTCAGTTAGTATGAATACCTCAACTAACTCAGGCTCCTTATTTCAAAACAAAGTCTATTTATACAAATTAAATTCAGGACAAAATGTTTAAATTCTTAGGAGTGATATAGAAGACCATACAAATTTTTGGAACCTGCCCACTTTAAATATTTACCCTTGTTCTTAAAAGATTGTACTTGCAGTGATGCATATGTATTGATGTACTTTTGTGAATTTAAAAGTTTCAAATCATGGTTTGAAACCAATCAAATTGAATTCACGTTGTATAGCCTTCAAAACCCTCCTGTTCTGCCCCAGTGAATCCTCTATAGCACTTTCTGCTGCTCCTCACTTACCCCTGACAAACCAGATGACTTGCAGTTCTGCAGTATGTTGTCTTTTACCAACTCTTTACCTTTGCTATAACAACCCTTAATCCAGAATGTTCTTCAATCAACTGCTGTTTGGAGAATTCTTATCCATTTCAAATTCTAGCAAAATTACCACTCTTCTTTTTTACCGGATTTGGATTTATATTTTATCACCTGCATTTCCTGTGTGAGTTTTCCTCCTTCCCCAGCTCTCCTTATTTTCTGTCCCTCCATCAAGTGTTGTATGGTCTAGTATGTGACAGTCTTGACGTCAGGCATTTAATTTATGTTATTCCTAATTCTTATAATTAACCGGAAAGGTAGATATCGTTATTTCTTTTACAAATGAAGAAACTGAGACTCAGAGAGGTACATGAATTTGCCCAGCACCCAAATATTAGGTCAGCATGATTTTAAATCCCCTGCTGTTTCTACCATACATTACACACAAAAGCAAATCTGATGTTTTTTTACTTTGTGCTTCCATAACATCTTGCATAATACATGTCACAATTTTCACAGTACTATAGTTATTGGTAAGTAGCCTTTTAACATTCATATTTCACTGCAGGTTATTTTAAAAGTGTAATTATATTTTAGACTTGTAGCCACACTGCCTTCCCACTTGACCCATAGTCAAAGGTTTTGTACATACAGAAGGCTAAAGAAATTTTATTGGAGATGGTAATATATTTTGAAATTATCTTGTTAAATGCTATACATCATTAGTGTATCTTCTCTTTTATGAGTAATTTCCTTGTCATCTGTGACTTAATGCATTCCTAATGTCTTTTCTTGGTTTTTCTTTTCTGTGCTTTTGAAGTTATGCTTCACAAATGACTTGAGTGAAAATCCCTTTTACATTAAAATGGGTTGGTTCGGTGAAGTTAATAACACATAAATTGGAATAAAATTATCATACAAAACTTTCCTTTTTTAAGATGTCAGTATTCAAAGACTGGTGATGTATCTTTTTGTAGGTTTGAGCAATCTGTTATTAAAATTTATATAATGCAGTTATTATAATTTTATTATATATGTCCCCAAATTAACACATTTTGGGAGGGCTGTGAGTGAGAGGGAGGCAAGTGGTGATGGTGGAGTGTGGGAACTTGTTACCCTCCTCAGATAATAACTACCATTCTTTTTAATTCCATTCCTCACCTCTGTTTACACAATAATCACGAAAACAAGTTCCTATGCCTAAATCAAACGTAAATGCCTGAGTAGACATGGCTCTATGTCCTGCTGCAATACCTTAAAATAAATCATTGTTAACAATTCATACATACTGTTTTATCCTTTCTGTAAAATAACTTTTCCCCATTGTTTCAACAGTGTAAAAATGTATGTCAAATGACATAAACTATTTTGGTTTTAACCAAAACCAAACTTAATAGAAATCCTCATATTTCACTACAGAAATCATTTACTCTGCTCCTCCAAAAGATGCAATGCTATAATTAGGCCGGTTGTCTTTTTCAGCGTGTCTGTCTTCTCTCTTCTCTGTGTTCCCCATCCTATCTTATGCAACCATGCTGTTTCAGGTTCTCCACCCTTCACAGTCAAATGACAGATTTATGTGAGTTCTGAGTCTTCTTTGGAAACTTCCTACTTTGACCCCTTTGTTTGCACAGTTAATGTTCCTAATTACTCATACATTTTGGGGGGTTCATTTCTACCATAGAGAGGAAAGGGCACTAACATGGAAATCAAACATTTGGTTTGAAATTCTAGTGTAAAATGTCTTATTTTTCTCTTCAGAAAATGTGGTACAATAGTGCCTGCTTTATAAATATATATATGGAGAATTAAATTATATTAAATTAGAAAACTTGTGTGATATCATATACCATACATCGTGCTAGATGAGCACTCAAAAAAAACCAGATTAATTAATCTTTACCTTGTGACTTCATTTACTGTTTTTTCTACTACTGTGTAAGTGGTGAGAAACATTGTTCTGCTTCATTTGCTTTACTATACCAGTTTGGTTCAGTAAAATGACTTTTCCGTGCTTAAAGTTTTTAATGTCTTACATACACATTTAACACCTTTCAGCAAGAGTCCTCATCTTAAATTGTACGATCCTGGAGAACAGGTTGCATGTTTTATTCGATATTCTCAGCCATGTTACGAGCCCAGTGCTTTCTATTTCAGCGAGCATTCCAATAAACCTCTGTTAAATTAATTAGTTATGTTTGAGCTGCATTCCAATTTAGTTTGTATCTGTTGTCTTATTATTAAAAAGTAAGATGTTTAGAATAACGTAAAGGAAACATTGTTTTAATTATAAGTAATGTCTTTTAAATTACTTATTTTATATGATGCTTGTATTCATTAAAATGAAGAAGGGAGGATGAATACAGATATTTTAGGCGGGGAATAAACTTTCAAGGAATTAAGAGTACCTGCATTTGATAATTCATTTTTCTTCTTTTGCAGGTTTCAGATTTGGGATATTGTTTTTCTGATTTTGAAGAATTTTTTTTTTCTTTTGAGTTTACTTTTTCTTTCTTTCTTTCTTTCTTTTTTTTTTTTAACCGTTGGTCTTGGAGTACAGAAGAGGAATCAGAAATACGCTTATTTAGTTACACTTTTGAAACACTCATTCTTGAGAAACTCTCAAGCCCGAGTACACAGCCATGTGGCCATCACAACTACTAATCTTCATGATGCTCTTAGCACCAATAATTCATGGTAAGATCTTTAATTACATTTTTGTGTAATGCTTAAAATTGTCTTATTTATACTAGATTTTCTTCAAAGTTTTTGGCCTGAGATTTTTGTAGCTTTTGCTTACCATATATTAATATGCGCAAGTTAAATTAAAAGACCATAATATGTACTTTAAGCTGCAATAATTATGACTTTTGACTTGGGTTTCTTAAAGTGCCTATTGAAATGTGAATATAACCAAAAGGCTTTCTTTTTTAAAAAAAGAACTCTTGCATATTTTATTCTTTGTTTCTAACACATTTATGAAACATCATCTGAATCATTATATTCTTTATTATGACTTTTTTGGCATACATATTTTTATGCTTAAAAAACGTATTTAATGTAGTAAGTATGAACATTTGAAAACAAACTCCAAAAATATTTGCTTTCTCAAACTGTTATATTTTTCTAAGTATTTACTACTCTGTCCAATCTTTAGTACACAGAATATGAACTGTAACCGTTCATTAAAGGGAAATTGTTTCTGCATCTACCTTTCAATGCAAACAAACCAACCAAAAAACAAAACAATGCAACAGCAAAACAATATGAACACAGGCTGTCAGTTTTTAGAAAAAGGTTATTTTGCAGAAACATGCTAGTATACTCATAGTAAAGTTGTATACTCACTTTGTTCATTTAGATTTCGTGGTATTTATAGCACAAATATGATAATTTAGAAATTATGTACCTTTGCAAATTTTATAAAATATGAAGTAATTTAATACATAAGACAGACTGATTTATATTTTGTACAACTTAGTGTAAAATTCACTGAATCTTTCTAAAAACTGGTAAAGTCTCTATGTATGTTCCTCTCTCATGATTTAAAGTTTTCTGCTAATTATCTTTGGCTTTGCACTAAGATGAAAAAGTTATAATATAGTCACTATCTCATGGTGATGGTAATTATACCAGAGAAAAAGGGACACAGCTTTATTTGCCACTACTTAAGTGGTCTCAATATTACAGTGCAGGAAGCAGCTGAAAAGAATTTTTAGGCTCTTTTCACTCACTTTTGGTTTTTATTTGATTACAGAAACCCATTGTAGTTCATCAGTGATGCAATTCCGAATTTGGCCTGTGTTCCTAAGTTTCAACATGAATTGCATTCTGCTGTCATTACAAAAACTGGATAAAATAACTACTGTCACTTTTGAAGTTTTCCTCTAAATTTTTCATGATTGAACATCCTTAATTCTGGGCCGGCCTGGTGGCACACTGCTACAGTGCGCCGCTTGGGAGCATGGCAGCGCTCCCGCCGAGGGTTCGGATCCCACATACAGACCGGCCGCTCACTGGCTGAGCGAGGTGCGGGCACACACCGAGGGTTGCGATCCCGTTGCCGGTCTCGGTCTGGTACGGGCGCGACACTGAGGGTTGTGATCCGTTGCCGGTCATGAAAAAAGACAAAAAGGAAAAAAAAAATGCTTAATTCTAACAAATCACTGTAAGGTAGAGATATTTTTAAAAATGAGTAAAATCCTACTTATACAATCACACTGTTTTAAGCAATTTAAATTTCTCAAAAATTTAAAAATATTTCCTTAATTTATATATTTATGCGGCACGGATGCATTCACATACATGGGCACATACAACATTTTGTGATATGGGACAGTGAAAGAATTATGTGACTTTAAACAAATGCTTTTCTCATTATCTGTATACCCAAAGGTGATTCAAATTAGCTTTTTTTGATGTTATAAAAATACCTCCCATATAAGGTTATTTTGAGGATAAAATAAATAGCATATATAAAGAATTCGGCACAGAGCATGACAAATATTAAGTGCTCAAAAATGTTAATTTCCTTCATCATACAATCTGTTCCTCCAGTTTATTTTCATTCCAGTAAGTTATCACTAGGAATTAGCTCGCCTTGAGTGCTGTTTCATTTAATATTGATAATAAGGAAAAAAATACACACACACACACACACACACACACACACACACACACACACACACACACACACCTAATGCATGTTCAAAATGTCAATCTAAAATTACCTGTATTAGAGGAAGTTAGGTTAGAAATAGCAGAAATAGACATTGTAAGAAAGATTCCCTTTTCAGAGCTGAAATTTCTGGTCTCCCAAGACTGACACCTGCTGTGTATTTCAGTGGGCCCCAAACATGGCTGAGCCACAGATTATGGCTCTTGGTTTGGGGCCTGGTAGTCAGTATTAAATTCACACTCTCACATGCACACACAGAGAATATCCCCAAGTAACTCTCAAAAGTATTTAAAAACTCCTAATACAGTGGTATGGTACGTAGAAAATTGACGTATTGTATAAAACATTTTGGCTAAAAACTAAAGCAGTCCTTTCCTTTTTACCATAGCAGACTAAACAATATAGAAGATTTCAACTTATAAACTTTATCCTTATTATCTTTTGTGGTATTTTAAAACTTTGCACCAGAGAAAATGTAAGTCATTTTGTCTGCCTTCTATAAAAGGCCTTTTTTGCCTTTGTGATACCACTTTTCACTTGTGAATGAAGAGCTTTAGGAACAGTCTTTGGGAGCCTAACTTGCTCATAAATAGAGGAATGTACTTTTGATCAAGTATATAATAGGATAGGAATTTTTAGAGTCCCCATCAATCCTGGCTTAAAAGAATACTGCACAATTCGAAAGCTTAGATGACTGAGTTAGAATGTATGTCACTTATAGAAGTGCTTTTTGTTTCCAAAACATGATCTGATGACATCTTTTTTGCCTGCTGTTGTTGAGATGCCCAACTTTATTTGCCCTCTGACCACTGGGAATGAACTTTTCTGAGTAATGACCTGAATGGCTGTTCCTTTCTCCAGAGCAAATAATGATGATGACTACTGATTTCATACCGTAAACTTCAGTTGTATTGGTTCAGTTAATCCTCACAACAATCACGTAGATTTACTGTTATCGTTACTATTATCATCATCATTATCTTTCTGTGATAAAAACACTGAGGTATCAAGTGGTGAAGTAACTTGACTGAGGTTACACAGCTGTTAAGTGACATAGAATGGTTTTAAAATCCCATTCCTGGCTTCCTGAGTTTTTGGTCTTAGTGCCAGTAGATGTCCAAATCCTATCAAGATCATTCTTCTCTGCACAGAATCTCATCTGATCTGTGTCATATGTGTAGGTGATCTATACTGATTACCCACCTATTCCATGTTCTTGTGATAGACAAACTCGGTTTTGAAGTCTGACAGATGAAAAAATCCAGCCCTGCCACCTACTAGCTCTGTAACTCAGTTTCATGGCTAAACTAGTTAATAAATATTATTTATCAACCACTACAAGCCAGAAAACTGTGCTAGATGTTAAGGATGTGGTAAGAAAACAAAAAATGTTTAGTTTTTCCCTCAAAGAGCTTACAGTAATTGAAAAACTTGTAGGCCTAGTTTTCATTTGTAAGAATGGGCATTTAATCCTTACAGGGTTGTTTTAAGAAATGGATGGCATAATATATGTATATATACCCCTTCCTTACCTTAAGATAGTACTAAACCTTTGAGCACTAAGTAGGGAAAATGCATAATTATTCTTATTTTCATCCTGAGAATTGAAAGAAATCTTTTTCTACTTAAACCTCAGTATTCAAGATTTACCAGAAATTTATAAAGTCTAGCATGTAAACAAAATTATTATCAAGATTATTAATATCTAAACAAAGTTATTGCCAATATGTAGGAATGCTTAAATCACTCTTTCAGTTGGTAGTATATAATTGTCAATGATATATTTTTGAATGAGCTCTACATGGGTGAAATTAAATAATTAATGAAGCTAAATAATTAATTTTGTTAATAATTTTGCTAGTGGAATAATCTCCACATTGCCCTAGAAAGTCTGGTAAATGTTTTATATAGGAAACAAAACTAATCAGTACATCAACATTGCATATATATACAATTTTTAAAATTAGGAAATGTCTTTGGTTCTCTGTTTATGTGTCCATATTCTATGTCTCTGTGTACCTCTGTATTCTCCTTTTTTGTTTTCCATGACTGTGTCCTCTTCCTGTAGAGCCATAAAACCCTTATCTATAATGCAGTGACATCTAGCAAAAGTAGAGAAGCAGCTAAAGCAGATGGCCAGTTCTTTGCTGTGCACTATTGTAGTGTTGCATCAATATAAAGGATTCTTTTTTGTCATTTTGTTGATGTGGTTTGGAACAAGAGAAAAGAAAAAAAACTTGGAGAACAGCAATCCAGTGATAACATGGATTTCTGGGGCTCATTCTGTTTGGCAGTAAAGAAATATTCAGGGCCAATGTGGGACATTGACTAGGAGATCTGTTCTGGCGGGTAACTTCACCTCAAGTCCCAATGGATTTGGAGTTCAAAAGGTGATTGTGGTGCTCAGATATTTTATCTGCATCTTAGCTTAATTAAACTTCACTTATAAACTGAGTCACAGTTGAAAAGGCAACAAAGAGGATCATTGGCACTTACTGTAAGTAATGGGATACAATATTTTTACGAGCGTATTCACAGAAATAACAATAGGATTTTAAAAAGTTTTTCTGGAACCACCTTATGGTGTATTTTTTTTTTCTTTTCTGCAAGTCTATACTGTTATTAAAGTTGAATCTGTATTTGTACATTCATGGACTTTACAAGCTAATCTTTTTTGTTATGTTTAAGAAGTTACTTATAATAAATAGTTCTTAGTAGGGACAAAACAATAATTAGATGCATATATAATTAGTCCTCTTTTTTATAATTTGCACTTTATTATTAATCTATTTTTACAGTTATAATATTATTTAATGTATAAATGATTTAAAATAATACCCGTATATTTTTAAATTTCTAATAGATATGAAGCTGGAAAAACTACAAAATTACATTTTACTACATAACGTTTTACCATATAATTCTTTCTGTGAAGACGTGTTTTATTAGTTGTGAAAGAGTCAGGTTGACTTCCAAGCTCTGCTTAACTTTGTTATTTTTAGAAATTAATTATCCTTGA